TGCAGAGGTGTGGTGGGAGAGCAGGGAGCGGTTGCTGCGGTGGCTTCTGCCAGACTGGGGTGACATAATCTGGCTTCATACTTTGGGAAGATTCAGTGTGGTACCTGGTGTACAGAGCCTTCCTGTCCTGCCACCTATTGTTTCTAATACTGTCCCTGGTTGAGGTTAGAGAATCTGCAGTAGTTGCTCACTTTAGTGACAGGAGATCACAAGCTTCAAGATTGTGACTTTGGTGATTTGTAATCACTGTGCTGCTCTGGTTTCTGCTTGAGGTATGGCAGAGGCCCGTGAGGTTCCCACTCATGTCACCTGAATATCTGTTCTGGCTAATCTGTGTATCATCTCAGTCTGTGCTGACTCTGACTCTGTTGTGAGTTAGTCTCTATTGGAATGCTGTTTTCTTCTCCTCCTGAGATCCTCTTCAGGGTCCCTTGTGTTGTGAGTTTTTTGATGATTACAGCTTTTCCAGTCTGGTCAACATTGTCATCCATCTTCAAACAGGAAGCTATCCAGGGCAATAGCATCCGGTGATATCAGGCCATCTGAGTGGCTATTGATATTAATAAACTCCAGAATCTCCTGCAACTTCATTCTGCCCCTTGAGTTCTTTTTCACTGTACAATATCCCTCCCACCCCACTTATCTGTGATTCCTCTTTCCATGGTTTTAGTCGTGAATGGTCAGCCACAGTTTAAAAATATTAAATGGAAACTACAGAGATAAATAATTTATAAATTTAAATTATGCACAGTTCTAATCATGCCATTCTGCTCAGGACAATGTATCCATGCTGTATGCGCTACCCACCCTGTTCTTAGTAGCTGACTGGTTGTCAGGTTAACTATTATGGTGTTACAGTGCTCATGTTCAGGTAACCCTTACCTAGTAGCCTAATACAACATCACAATGTCCCTATCAATCACCTTATTTGATCTCGTCACCTAGTCATCTCACATCATTACAAAAAGGGAAGAGTGAGTTAGAATAAAATAGTTTGAGAGAAAACACATTCATATAACTTTTATTATACTATGTAATAGTAGTCCTATTTTATTGTTGTGAATCTGTTACTGTGCTTACTTTATAATTGAAGATTTGTCATAGACATATCTGTATATGAAAAAAAAAAAAAACACAGTGCATATAGGGTTTGGTACTGTCCATGGTTTCAGGCACCATTTGTGGTCTTGAAATGGATCCCTCAGAGACAAGTGGAAGTTGATGTGTTATAATCAACTCCTGCAGGTCTTTTCCAATGGGGTCCACATATTGTAGCTTGACATCTCTGTACAGCATCTTACTTGGGACCTTTTCTTTGTTTTTGACCTTGTCTTCTTTACAGAGGCATCTTTTGTGGACGTTTCTCATTGTCAGAGGGAAAACTGATTTGCAAATGAATTATTTCATGATTTTGTTAGTGGCCCACCAGCAGATGGGGTGGGCTCCTCACAGGGCTCCAGACTGTGTACCAACATCAGCTTGGAATTGAACTCTGCTCTTTTCCTGGCATGACTAGGATCCCATGTCCACCAGTGTTTCCCGATGAGAAGCTGGTATTTGGACTCTGTCCACTTCATTCTTATCTCAAGTCTTAGCAATAACCTTATTTTTGTTCACCAACTCTTCCACCATTTCTTATTATGATTCTTTCATTAATTTCTAGATTCTCATGACTGACGTTACTATTAGTCACCTTCTTTAATAGAATAATTCTGTGGACTCCTGTCATAAGCTGTCACAGGGAGTCTGCTCGTCTTTGCTTTCTGCTGGGGCCCTGAGGCCTGCAACTGTGTTTCTTGGGGTGGTCTGTTTTCAGGATGGGTGTCCCCCAGTGTCCACAATAGATGAGCTGGAGAGGAGCAGGGGAAAGCATTTGGAATAAGCAGGAAACGCCATCTGAGAAGGAAGAAAGGCTGATCATCACATTTACTGTATTAATTAGTAGGACTGATACTTCCAGTGTTCATTGAACTCTAAAAGTTACCTCAGGAAAGGTTTTATATTGCTTAGGTTTCATATTTCATTCTTATTAATTTTGTTGCCTCATCATTTATAACTTAATTTATAATTGTACTAGTTGTCATACTGTTTTCATTATAATTCATTTTGTTGATATGAAAAGGTGCCAGCAACTTCCATGTACTTGGTGAACACATTGGTAGGTGATTTTCTTCGTTGGATCAATGCTATTTCAGTGCAGGCTCAATGAAGTCAACAGAATTTTTTTTTTAAATGGCTATATATGTATTTTTTTTTTCTTGGAGAATGATCAATAGTTTGTTTTCCAAAAGATCTTCATTTAAGTGGAATTTTTATGGTCTGAGTTTTTTTTAACATTTGATTTTTTTTCAATACATTGAGATCATGTCTTTTTCTCTGTTATTAATCTCTCAATGACCATCAGTGCCAGAGTGACATATAGTCATAATATGTGTTTAAATACAAGGGCACTTGGCTAACAGACGCTGGAATAATAAATATTTGTGTGTCTATGGTACAGGACAGAATTCTCCTCCATTCTTGTGTCATTTAAGTAAAGATCTCAGAGGGAGACACAGATGTGGTGTGTCATAATAGCAGTTATGTTTGTTAATCAAGAAGTAAAAGGACACTCCCAAACTTGGGAGCAGGTCATCTGGAGCAGGAGCAACCTCATCCATTTGGGTTCAGTCTGTCTTTGTGTCCCAGCTTGTCTGAGATTTGTTCTTCCCTTTTGCCTAAGTCACATGATCGTGAAACATAACCGACAGGTGGTGTTGCATAACTCCAGGAAAAGGGTACATGTACTGTCCCCACATTTCTTGCAAATGCTCACAAGAGAGTTCAAAACTACAATGTGAATGGTATTACAATGGCATTGTCAAAGGTTACCTTCAGACATACTGCTTGTGTGTCTCCCCCCCCTCCACACTCCACTTCTGGGGACCAGTTAGACTGAGCAGGTGTGGCATTTCCAGATAGAACCTACAGTTCTGAACCCTGCCTTTTGGTCTGCCCCTAATTTTCCTCTCCCATGGTCTTGTTCACGTGTGTACTATCTACCTAACAACCAGAGAAGAATCTTTACTTTGTGCAGTTAAGTCCCTGCTGAGGTATGTTGCTTGGTGCTCCTGAAAATTACGCTAAGGCAAGTTAATGTAGCTCAGTATTTGGCAGGGTCAGCTAAAACTATCTAATACGTTTATATCCCTATTTTGTGTTCTTACCTAAAGAAGAGTCCATTCTCTTGGTTCATTGTGGGGAGAGTGGATAAATGTGTGTAATTTTGTGGGTCCTAAATATGTTCAGGTGTACTGAAGTCTTTTAATGCTGCTATTTGCCTTTTATGGCAACATTTTGAGGTTGATAGTGTTATTTTCATTTTATTCAAGAAAAAAGTGAGGTTAAAATATTATGATTTGTTACAAGCTTGTAAAAATTTGAATCCGAATTGTAACCAAGTCTGACTCCCTTATGCAAAATAAAAAATAAAAAAAACTTGTATAATATTATCTGCTGGAGTGTTTACATTTATTTCCTAGGCTCCTTCCACAAACCAACCATAAACTTGGGCCTTAAAAAGCAAACTTATTCTCTCAGATTTTTGAAAGCAAGAAGTGCAATATCAAGCTAGTGTTTCCTTCCAAAGTTTCCAGGGAGGAATCCTGCCTTGCCTCTTCCATCCTGTGATGGAGGGAGGTTTTTCTGGGCTTGTGGCAATGTAACTCTACCCCTGTCTGCACATGGACTCTTCCTTGTCTCTCTCTGGAACTTATGTTGAAAGTCTTCTAGGGAATTTGTCACTTAGGATCTACTGCAGTCCGAGATGATCTCATATGGAGATGTTCATCTTCATTAGACTTTATGGTAATAACTTCTTTGTTTTTCTTTAAAATTTTACTGTTGGTATAGTAAAGTAATACAGTTTTATGTATTTTCAAATTTTAAATGAATCAAAGAAATTTACATGTTTAATTTTGTGTTGTGATTCTTTTGATTGACATTATCAGAGTCCTAGATGTCAGTGAGGCCATACTGAATACATTTTCCTCACATATTACCTATACATTGGCTTTTATTGCATGTGTGTGTTACATTTTATTTTTGGCTATCACAAACACTTTCTGTGAACCTTTTTGAATACTTCGGTACCCAGCATAGTTTTATGTGAGATAGATGCTCACTTGATGATGGTTTTCAAAGCAGTTGTACCAGCATACCTCATGGCAGCTCAAGAGTGACACCCTGGAACTCATATAGTTCAAGAATATGGTATTGGCTGTGATTTCAGTTAGCCTTGAGTTGCATAGGTATTTTAATTTAAACCTCTTGAATTATCGCTCAGATTGAATATCTTCTCATCGATTTATTAGATTTATACTTTTATAAACTGCCAGTTAAACAATTTTAAGATTTGGTTGTTTTGCTTTTGTTGCTGTTGTTATTTACCTTTCCAACGAATTCTGGTTTGGAGTCTATTCTTGAGTATATATATATGTTAAACATTTTTTTTTCTCATGTGGTGGTTGTCTTATTTATTTATTTATTTTGGTTTTGGGGATTGAATCCAGTGACACTTAACCACTGAGCCACACATCCTCAGTCATTTTTATTTTTATCTTGAGACAGGATTTCGCTAAATTGCTGAGGCTGGCTTTGAACACTTTGCTCTTTTTATTGTGTATTTTGATAAGCACAGATTCTTTTTTTTTTTTTTTACATAGTCAAAGTGACCCACTTTTTATTTTATGGTTGGTGAATTTGGTGCTTTTAAAAGAGCTTTCTCTTATGATTTAGATATGTGATATTCCCCCGAAGCTCACGTGTGAGACAATGCAAGAGAGTTTAGAGGAGAAATGGTTGGGTTAGGAGAACCTTGACCTAATCAGTGCTTTAATCCTCTACTAGGGTTTGACTGTAATCAGGTAGGGTGTGGCTGGAGAAGGTGGGCATTGGGGATTTGCCTTTGGGATTTATATTTCCTCATGAGGAGAGCAGTCTCTCTCTCTCTCTGCTTCCAGGTAATGTCCTAAGCCACTTCCTGCAACTACATCCTTCCACCATGATGTCCTGCCTCACCTTGAGCTCCAAGGAATGAAGCTGACCTTCTATGGATTGAGACCTCTGAAACTGTGAGCCCCACAATAAACTTTTTCTCCTGTAAATTTATTCTTGTCAGATCATTTTGTCACAGCAGTGAAAAAGCTGACTAAGGCACTTTCTTAACAATGCTTTTTATGTAATTCTTCTTCTTCTTCTGTGTATCAATCATGAGATTACTATTTCTCCCTCTCCCTCTTTAGAGATACTGTGATATACAGCTTATAAGCAAGTCTTGGTTTGGGGGAACAATTCTGTCACCATAAATTGTGTTGTACAAATCTTGTACATGAGTTTTTTAGGTGAACTTAGAGGACAGTCTTAATTTGCTCAATTTCATGTTCTTGGAAGGTGAGTTACGGTGGGCCATAGCTATTCAATAACTATCGATAGAAAAGGATTTGCTTTGAAATTAGCTTGCTGTGCTAGTGCTTTAGGAAAAAATGACTTCATTAATAGATCCCTTGTTGATCAAGACAATTCATACTATCCAGGTATCTGACTATATGGAAAATTTTACCAATTTTTAAAATGATATTTCAATGAATTATTTAATGAAGCCTGTAAATACATATAACTATGATAAATTTATTGTTGAAGTTTGTGAGACACAAGAAATACACCCAGGGCAAGCTAGGAAGTTCAGGGCCAGAATATGAATGCAAGTCTTATTTTCTTTCTTTGGAAATCTTTCTCTAAATGCAATTTCAAATTGTAGGGTGAAACACTTTTTTAAAATGATATCATCAGCTTAAAAATAAATGAAAGAATCCTGCTCTAATTTAAACTACACCTAGTTTTCTCCCTATGAGCATTCTTGCCCTCACAAAATTCAAGTAGAATTATTTACTTTTATAATTCTTTTACAAGTCATTGTTTTACATGTTAGTTAAATGTAATGTGCTTTTCTTTCACTTTGGGGAATTCTGGAGTGAGGCATGGAGTGTCTTGAGAAGACAACTTGCTTGGCAAGTGGACTGTTATAGTTTAAATGTGCTCCAAAGCCCATGCATTGAAGGCTTGGTCCCTGGTCTGTGGCACAGCCGGAAGGTGATGGGCACCTTGGGAGGCGGGGCCTAGTGAAAGAAGGTTAGGGCCTTGGCATGTAATTGTGAAGAAGACATTGGGAGCCTGACCCCTTCCTCTCAATCTGTGCCTCCTAGCCACCATGAAGAGCATCTTTGCTGTACTACACCCTCTGTGCCATGAAGTTCACCTCACCAAAGGCCCAAAGCAAAGGACCAAGGGACCATGGATTAAAATTTTTGACACCATGAACCAAATAAATCTTTCCTCTTTTAAAGCTGATTGTCTCAGATATTTTGAAATAGCAATGGAAAGATGACTAACACATGGACTTTTGTTCATGTTAATTTTTAGCATATATGTTATATGAGAGAATTTAGGGAAATATAAACAAGGAAAAGAAAAAAAAAGATTCATTTAAGTAAGTTCATTTACCATTTGTCTGCAGTACTATTTCACTCTGGTAGCTTTTTTGAAAGTTCATCCCTAAGAAGACATTTATTTTCAGTTTAGTTCATATAATTTTAGAATATGCAAAACATATTGCTTTCAGATGCTGACAATCAAGTTGATATGTTTGTAAGGAGCAGATACAACCTTCTAAGCAGTTATTTTTTAAAATCAGACTCAGTGTTCAAAAGCTTCTACTAGTTGCAAAGTAATAATAGAGGATACATAGTAATAACTGATATTCTTGGATATGCTAGGGATTTACCAAAAAAATAGGATTATTAATCTTTTGACTCTGGTTATAAATAAAGATGGAAATATCTTAATGAATGAATAAGGTTTTTGAGAAAAATTAAAGGAATGCAATGTTTGGATTAATATAGTAACTTTGCATAAGTATACACACAGTTTGAGATTTTCTAATCCACATTTGTGTTCTAGAACAGGGATATGGACAATTTATTGTTAATTTGTAGAAATCAGTATATCTATATAGTAATACATTTTAGTGAAAATTTGAGATATTCAAAATAAACCTCAACTTGTAAGACTAAGAGTAGTCTGTAAGTGGTTAGTCATTTCCTGCACATTGCATTTACCTGTGGCTATTTTTTAGTATTATTTTTCAATTTGAAAACTTTCAATACTTCCTAGATTTGAAATCTTGGCACACATACACATACTTCTTTAAAATAGTTTTCTTTTTTTTTAATAGCAAAAGTCACAGCTTTGTCAGAAGGAGAACAATAGAGGCTGATATCTGTCAATCTGTCCAGTGAATTATGTAGTATCTTGCTTTCAGGACATAACAAATGTTGCCCAAGTGCATGTTCCAGTAATTGAAATAGATAGAAAACTGAGCATGCTTTTCAATTTACTTTGAGAATCTTTGGCTTCTTTTCATGCTGTTGTAATCATTAGCAGAAGTTCATAGAAAGTGGAGTTTATCAAAATACAGACAGTTTTATTTAGAGCATGTGCCTTGCAGGAATTTCTTTTCATTCACTTACTCTGGGATATAGAGCAGCACCTTTGGCTTTAATATGCTTATTACAGAGCCTGAACACCGTGCATATTTCCTCCTGCTTTAAGATACAGATGGCAAAAATCCCTAGTCTGCCAAGGAATTTTATTTGCTTCTAAATTCTAACTGTCCCATTATATGACTTTGCTATATTAAGATTTTAATAGTGCAAATAAGGGTCAAGGCTTCTTTGTTGATGAAATATTAAATCACGCTTTGGCTCTTTTCTTGTGACAGTTATTTTCTATTTCATCTTTAAAAGCGGAAGTTCATGAGCTTTTCATCCAGTGGAGTAGTTAGATTTTATTCATGTTCAGACTCATTGAAACCTGCCAACCATATAAAAAGTGTTGCCAATATGGGAGAAGTGTTCCTTGTCTCGTGATAGAAAGGGTTTCACTGTGTAAAACCAAACTTAAAACAAAAATACGTATCCCCCATTGAAACAGACTACACCACGTGTTTTTCCCAGGTGGCTTTCTATGCAGTATGGAGCAGAGTAGATTTGATTGATAATGTTTCCAGTTGTTTTGCAAATTCTCTGTGTTTATACATACATGTAATCATACACACACACACACATATATATCTGATGTTTAATCTTATAAACATTCCCAAATCAATGTCAACTTTGAATTGGTTACAAATATTCCTTTAATTTGGTTTTTGAATGATTTAGAACGCAAAGAAATATTTTCTTAAGCCTCAGGATTTACAAAGTATTCGATCCTAAGCTAAACTTTTAGTCAGTGAATTTCTCTTGACCCTGGTATAGATTTTGCTGTGCTACCTGGCTTCTCTTGCTAGTGGAATTGTTATCTATGCATCTATAGCAGCAAACACAGGGTCATGCTATAACTAAAAATATGTATATATCCAAGCTCCGTTAAATTTGGTTCTGTGGTATTTTCTATCCATGTCTTTTCTTTCCCTTCAGACTGTCACTGAGTTAATTTAGGTCCTTTGTTTCTTACATTCAGATGTTTTGAAGTTTCTATCTGGCCACTTTGCTTTGCAGTTTCTCTCTAGTTCACTCTATGCATTGCTTTCAACATCACTGAGTGAATATATAGTCCAGATCACATTATTTTTCCTACATGAAATATCCAACCACTTTCCATTGCTTTTGGATTCATTTTAAAACTTACTCAGAAAATACTCAATACAACAGCCACTAGCCATGTACAGCCATTTAAATTGAATGTGTACTTAATTAAAAGTAAATAAAACAAATTGAATTCCTCTATCACAGTAGCCTAATTTCAAGTACTCCAAAGCCACATGTCCCTAATGACTACTGGAATGGACACCAAATCTCCAGAACATTTCCACCATCATGGAAGGTCTCACTGGACAGCGTTGCCTTGGGATGTTACACTTGTCCTTCAGCTTACTTTTTCAGCCTCATCTTCTTCAAAGCACCAACATGTCTCTGTGATCCAGTCACATGGGTCTGCTTCCTGTAGAAAACATCCATTTATTCAGTCAACAGACTTCACTGGGAACAATCAAGAGTTCAAGACAAAACTGCTGTTACAGAGCTTGTATTAGTGGGGGATTGTAAACATCCAAAATATTCAAGATGTAAAATACCCAATGTCAAGGAGTGCTAGCAAGAAAAATGAAATATGGCAACATGCAGCATGATTGTTTAGATGGGGCATTGAGAAAGGGCCTTTTTGATAGGGGCATTTCAGCAGATCCCTGAATAAAAGGAGGAAATGAGCCATTCAACTCTTTGAGGGAAGCGAAAGCCTTTCATTCTACTGCCTTCAAGCCTTTGCCCTCTTGGGTTTGTGGGAGTATTATTAATAAAGGTCATAGCTTTGTTAAGCATTCGCCTCTTATCTTGCTCTAAAGATTTTTGGTCTCAGGCCAGAATGTAATCAGAGTCATGGACTATTAGAGCTAGGGACAACCGTGGAGAAACTTCTAATCCATTTTCTGATTTTAAAGAGGGGGCACCTAAGATATAGATATGTTAATCGATTTGTTTTAAATGACAATGGTTAAATGACAATGAGAGTTGGGTCTCCTGGTTCCTACTATTTTCCACATAGGGCAGAGTTTTCTGGGTAATGAGATATAGATGAAGAGGACCACTTGTCCCTTTTAAAGAGATTTCTTAAAATTAATATTTCCTTATTTTGGCTTTCTTTAGAAGTTCATTGATATTAAAATTTCAAATGAACTTTTTCTTTGCATTATAGACTCAACCTGATCATTCAGGAAAAAAGTTTTCAATGATTTGCTCATATGAATACCTTTTAAATATTACCTTCTCAATACTAGAAAACATTTCAGCACTAGCAGCATGATATACATATGCCTATGTGCATCTACAAAAGTTTCCCTGTATGAAGTCCCAGATAGCATAAAATGATGGGTTTTAATTGAATTATGCCTTTGTTCATCCAGTAAAATTCTGAGGAATTGCCTAAAGAACTCAAAAGCAGGTAACCTAATCATGTTTTTTTTTTTTTTTTAATAACATATTTAATTCTTAGACTCATCTAGGTAAGGGCTATTACA